TGCTGAGACTGGGGGTGCTGCGCCTGGGGGTGCTGAGACTGGGGGTGCTGAGCCTGGGGGTGCTGCGACTGGGGGTGCTGAGCCTGGGGGTGCTGAGCCTGGGGGTGCTGAGCCTGGGGGTGCTGTGCCTGGGGGTGCTACGCCTGGGGGTGCTGTGCCTGGGAGTGCTCCACCTGGGGGTGTTGAGCCTGGGGGTGCTGAGCTTGGAGGTGCTACGCCTGGAGGTTCTCCGGTTGCTTAGTCTCTGCGGGAGCCACTCTCTCCACAGGAGCTGCGCGAGTGGTTTGCCCGGCGCTAGAGCCGTGATGCTGGTGCTGGAGGTTCTTCGGCTACTGAGGGTGCTCCTGTCGCGAGTCCCAGAGGTGCTCGTACTGGGAGTACTGGAGCTGCTGGGCCTACGGGTTCGACTGGAGCTGGTGCTGCTGAGGGTGTTGGCGCTGAGACTACCGCTGGCGGTCCTGCTGGGGGTACTCCTAGTGCTGCTGGAGGTTCTGGAGCTACGGGAGGTGCTGCTAGAGCGGGTGCTCCTGCTCGGGGTACTGGTGCTGTCCCTGCACTGTCTGGCGTCGCCACGCGGCCTCGACCGTACTTCGTTCCACTCCTGAAGCAGGTTCTTGGTCTTCCACCTTCTACTGGTCCTCCTCCTCCCTTAGAGTGTCCACAGCCTGTCCTGTCACAGTTACAGTTGTAGCCTACCTCCCCTTTGCCTGCTCCTTCTCCCTACACTGGTCCTACTGGAGGTCTTGCTGAGCGTCGTGAGCCTGCGTCTCGCCCTATGTCGCCTGTCCGTGCTGCTCGAGCTAGTGGTCGTGGTTCGCGTTAGCGTCCTCCTCCTGTCCCTGGCATGCACTGGATGTCTCTGCGTCCGTCCACTGCTCCTCTTCGTGCCGCTTTGCCTTCTCCTCCTGAGTCCTCTCTTCCTGCGCTTGCCGACCCGGAGTCGGACTCTCTTTGTGCTGCCAGTCCTACTGTCACGCGTCTCCTGGCTACTATCGTAACTGACCCTTCTTTCGAGTCCACTGCTGCGTCTGCCCTAGTTGCTGAGCTCGTCGACTTTGCTGCTCGGTGTCGCCTAGACTACGCTGCTAGTCTTGTCGCTGAGTCTGAGTCTGTCTGTCCTCCGTCCGTCGGGGGTGAGTGTGCCCTTGGCACGGACGTCCTTGAGGACAGGCAGGAGGAGTTCCAGTGTCTGGCAGCTGCTTCACCTCATCTCGTGTCTTTACTGCTTACCCCTGAGGGAGACCCGGATGCACTTGACATCCCGACTCCGCGCTCCTACGCGGAGGCGATTATTGGTCCTGACTCCTCTCAGTGGCAGGCAGCCATGGATGCCGAGATGGCTTCCTGGAAGTCCACAGGCACCTACGTTGACGAGGTTCCCCCGCCTGGGGCGAACATCGTCAGTGGCATGTGGATCTTCAGACTGAAGCGGCCGCCGGGTTCTCCGCCTGTCTTCAAGGCACGTTACGTGGCTCGTGGCTTCAGTCAGCGGCAGGGAGTTGACTACTTTCATACCTTCTCTCCCACCCCGAAGATGACCACTCTTCGGGTACTGCTGCACATAGCTGCTCACCGTGACTACGAGCTGCACTCTCTCGACTTCAGCACAGCTTTCTTGCAGGGCAGCCTGCTCGAGGAGATCTGGCTGCGTCGCCCACCTGGCTTCACTGGGTCGTTCCCTCCTGGTACCCAGTGGAGCTTCCGGCGTCCAGTTTACGGTCTCCGCCAGGCGCCACGTGAGTGGCACGACACACTGAGGACTACGCTTGCGGCTCTTGGGTTTGCTCCTTCTACTGCCAACCCGTTGCTGTTTCTACGCACCGACACCTCTCTGTCGCCGTTCTACATCCTCGTGTACGTCGACGACTTGGTCTTTGCCATAGCTGACACTGCTGGACTCGCCTACGTGAAGTCCGAGTTGCAGAAGAGACACACGTGCACAGACCTGGGTGAACTGCGCAGCTACCTTGGCTTGCAGATCACCCGGGACAGAGCACGCCGCACCATTACCCTGACTCAATCACACATGGTGCAGCAGGTCCTTCAGCGCTTCGGCTTCACATACTCCTCGCCTTAGGCCACTCCTCTGCCTACTCGCCACTCGCTCTCAGCTCTGCCTTCGGATGAGTCCGTAGAGTCGAGTGGCCCGTATCCAGAGCTTGTTGGCTGCCTCATGTACCTGATGACCTGCACACGACCTGACCTTGCATACCCTCTTAGCATTCTCGCACGCTATGTTGCTCCTGGGAGACACCGACCAGAGCACATGACTGCAGCGAAGAGGGTGTTGCGCTACTTGTGCAGTACGTCGGGCATGGGGCTAGTGCTTGAATGGCGCAGTCCAGTGGTCCTCACTGGGCATGCAGACGCTTCTTGGGCTGACGACCAGGCTACGCAGCGGTCGTCACAGGGTTACACCTTCAGCCTTGGTTCCGGCTCTGTCTCGTGGCGGGCTACTCGCTCGTCTTCTGTTCTCGGCTCCAGTTGTGAGGCTGAGATCTACGCAGGGGCCATGGCTGCACAGGAGCTTCGCTGGCTCACCTACCTGCTGACTGACCTCGGAGAGCCGCCTCGTTCTCCTCCAGTGCTGTATGTAGACAACAAGGCCATGCTGGCCTTGTGTCGAGAGCAGAGACTGGAGCACAGAACAAAGCACATTGCTCTCCGCTACTTCCTTGCTCGTGAGCTACAGCAGCGTGGTCAGTTGCGGCTTGCGTACGTGGCCTCTGAGGCCAACACTGCTGATGTCTTCACCAAGGCACTTGCGCCTTGTGATCATCAGCGCTTCTGCACCCAGCTGGGTCTTGTACCTGTCTTGCCTCACTTGCTCACCTCTTGACCTTGCTTGTACTGTTACATATATATATACCTGCTCTTGCTTGTCTAGCCTTATATATATTTGTACTCCTGCATGTGAACTGGCCTTGTGGCCTTGTACCTTTGCTCGGAATGTGTGGTGACTTTGTGATCCACCCTGAGCTTTGCTTGTTTTTGCTTTGCTTGACTGGTCTTGTGACCCCTTAATCTCACCCACTTAGCCTATGAGGGTGTGTTAGAACATTATAGCTTATACTTTTGTGTAGGCTGTAGTGGGTTATCTCATAGGGGTTACAACCCAATTGGGGTTAGTACTTGTACCCACTTCACTCATAGTTCATTCATTCTCGTTCTCACTTTCTCATCATCCCCTTCATTGCACCCAGGAGAGTGCGCAGCTCGTCGCCCGGAGCGCGCGCTGCTCGTTGCCCGGAGCGCGCGCTGCACGTCGCAGGGAGCGCGCGATGCTAGATGCCCGGATCGGGCGCTGCTCGTCGCCAGTTGTGCGTGCTGTTGCGAGATGTGCGCAAGTATACCCTCGACCGGTGCGCGTTCCGCTCCTTCGCTCGGTGAGCGCTCTGGTCCCCGCCCGTTGCGCGTTTCGAGGGGACGCTACAGCGTGGGCTCTCTTGTATCTACAGGTTGTAGAATGTCGTCATCGCTTGCACGTTCCTACACCCCCTGTGCTGTGTCGTTGCCTGCTCCTGCAGTGATCGTTGAGCCCCTAATCTGAGGTGAATTTTGTCTCTAATACGTTTCCTTTGTCGCTTGGGGCGTTACCGATACTTGTTTGAGTAGGTGGTGTTGAAAATAGCACGCGCGTCGCTCTGTTTTACTAGTATTTCCCGTACGCATGGTGTTGAATGAGTGGTCAGGAAACGTGTACTGCAGGCACATTGTTCGTCGTAAGAGTAGCCATATACGTGAAGCCTTCGGATTGGCCAAGGAATCTCTTCATGCGACACAATTTTCGCATTGGATTGATGAAGATCGCAGGTTGGGTGTGGGCGAAATGCTCATTTGCTCGCGGAGGAAACCTGATCTCGCCTAAGCCACACAACCGAAATAGGTTTCGCACACCCTCCTTTTGCACTATTCCAACCTCACATAACTTGAAAATTTACCATGCTGACCCCGGGCTTTAAACATCACCACAGGAATTACTATTGATTTCATTTCTTCAATATGTAAGCTCTCTCTCTCTCTCTCTCTCTCTCTCTCTCTCTCTCTCTCTCTCTCTCTCTCTCTCTCTCTCTCTCTCTCTCTCTCTCTCTCTCTCTCTCTCTCTCTCTCTCTCTCTCTCTTCAAGGGTCTCTTTGACTCATTAGCCACCCCCATGTATTTGCGTATGCGGTTAAAGTTATTTGAAATGTTTCTTGGATCTTTCCCATGTGTGCTCACTCTTCTCAAATTTTGAATGCATTCCTGTATGGCATTGATCATACCGTCATCACCCAGATATAAGACAGTGTTGAATAGTAGACGGGGGTTGTCTATTATACGGGTGTCTCTTATAAACAGGCTAGCCTCATTGTAACACACCTATTTGTGTGTACGAGATAAGACATATGTGTCTTATAATCAAAACTGCAATATATTATAGTGAAAATTGAAGTACCGCGTACGTTTTTACCCTTGCGACACGCGACACCCTAAACCCTATTCTCCATGACGTGGCACCCCGAACAATGGTTGCCGAAGTGGCACCTTCGCAACATCCACACTCATAATGAGAAACTCTTTTCAAGATGTGTGAAAATATTTCTAAGTAGTTTAAAAAAGTTTCCATTTATAAGACTTGTAAGACACCCAAAACCTCCCCAAATACAAGATAACCCAAGCATTTTTTTAGTGTATGAGATAAGACATATATGTCTTATATCCGGGCGATGACGGTACATACATGCACAATACAACACAGGGGTGGCAAGAGAAAGTAACTCATATCTTGGGTTTTCTTTTTCTTGAAAACGTTCCCCTCAATGTGCCGAGTTGAAGACCCCCTTCGCCCTAAACCCCTCAGAGCTTTCTTTCTTTGTCTCAGGTCTGCTTCATTGCATCAGGTCCAGAGGAATCCACACGTTCAGCCCGACCTCCTCCCGTGCATCCTTCACTTTCCAACCCAGTAGCTCTGAACCCTGAATCCTATCCCTACACACAAAGAAGTGTGCACGCACGCAGCATCATCGCTTCTTGGGTTTCTTCTTGAACACGGGCGTCTGCACCTTCTCCATGTACAGAGCCAGCTCCAGAGGCATCCACTCGTTCAGCCCAATCTCTTCCCTTGTGTCCTTCTCCCTTTCCCTCTCGCTAAACCGGCCCCGACTGAATCTCCTCCTCTCATACTTGCCCACTTCCTCTTGCCCCTCTTGCTCCTCTTGCTGCTCAAGCCCTGCCCTGCCAGCGCTTCTCCCTTCTCTCTTGTCGTCGCTCCGCCCTTCTCCTGCATCACCCTCCTCCATTTCAAGCTCCGCCTCCTCCCCTTCTTCCCACTGTTCATTCCCCCGGTCGTCCCAATCATCATCGCCATCATCCTCATCCTCTTCTCCTTCCTCTTCATCATCTTCCTCCTCCCCCTCTTTTTCCTCCTCGTCCTCCTCGTCCTCCTCATCCTCATCTCTTTCCCGCTCATCCTGAACATCAAAACCCCATGCGTCATCAGACCACACCTCTCCACCCTCTTTCTCCTCCTCTCCCCTAACTTCCCCTCTGCCCTCCCTACCCATCACTCCATCCCCCACCACCCTCTCCCCCTCCTCGTCCTCCTCCCACCCACCCTCTCTCTCCCCTTCCCTGCTCTCTCCCATCACACCACCTCCCTCCAAACCACGCCCACCCACACCACTTCCCCCGAACCTCATCCTCACGCCCGGCCGGAGCTCATCCCGCAGGCTCGGCAGCACATGCGCCTCCATGAACTTCCACAGCCTCGTCGCCGTGGCTCCGCCGAACCGAATCAGGTTCGGCGCATCCCACGGACTCTCCAACGCCACCCTCCCCATCTGCGCTTTCCACCTCAACCTATCACTCCCTCCTCCACCCTCCTCCTCCCCCTCCCCACTCCTCGCCAACTTCCTCGTCCTCTTCCCCGCCTTCCTCCCTCCTTTCTCCAACACCCTCTGCCCCGGCCGCCTATACCTCATCTTCACGCTACAATCCCGCACCGACACACATAACGCCCGCGCAATCCTCCTCAAATCTCGACTCGAGTACTGCTTTGCGTGCAGAATCATCCCCCCAGTCTCCTCACACCGCCGCCCACTGTACATGTACCAGTGGGCGAGCGTCTTAGGGGTGAGCCAGCGCTGAATGAGCTTCGGAATGACGCGGGGGCCCTGCGGGTGGTAGCGCTGCGCGTGGTAGCGGAGGGCCGTGTGGGGGATGGTGGCAAAGTGACGCACGCGGATGGGACGAACCCCCGCCGCTGCTAAGACGTCAGCGGGTGGTGCAGAGGAAGAAGCTGCAGCAGTTGCAGTCGCGGCAGCAGCAGCAGCAGCAGCAGCAGCAGCAGCAGCAGAAACAGAAACAGATGCGGCAGCGGCATTAGCAGCGGCGGCGGCTGCTGCGGCAACATCGGGAGGAGCGTCTGGGGCGGGCGGCATGAGCAGGAGCATGTTTCTGGGCGGGGCACTCGCCCACGACCCAAACGCCCTGTACAGCCCCTCCAGCAGCTCTACACGGCCAGGATTGTCCAACGGCTGCTCGAAATGAATCTCGTACGTCCGTTCGTTGTCCTGGGCCGCGATCCTCGCGCCACCCAGCAGCACCCCTGCCAACACCTGCCGCTGCTCCTTACTCAGCTTCATGCTCCGCGTCTCATCCCTCTCAACCCTCAACTTCCCCACCACAGCTTCCGCCGCTTCTCTCGCTGGTCCCACCAGCACCATACCGGGTTTCCGCCCCCGGTCCTTCCGATTCCCAACCATGTCCAGATACAGTGAACGGACCGTTCTGGTGTCGCCTGCTGCGCCGCATGCAGCTATGATGAGGTTGTAGGTGTGAGCGTCAACGCCTACGTCCTGGTTGGAGTTCATTTCGAGGAAGATTTTCTTCGCCATGCCTAGATTGCCGGCTTTGGTGTGCGCTGCCAGTCGCAGGTGGTAGGATGTGCAATCAGGAAGGCACCCCACCTGCGGGAGAAGCACGGGGTTGAGAGACGGAAGGAGGGAACACGCGTGGGGTGAGCGGGGAGCGGGGGCTTGGGCGCTGCCATGCCATGTGCAGTCAGGTAGGTCAGGGAGGCACCCCACCTGCGAGTTAGGCACGAAAATCAACCAAGGAAGGATGAGACAGGTGTGGGATGAGACAGGTGTGGGATGAGACAGGTGTGGGATGAGACAGGTGTGGGATGAGACAGGGAGAGGAGGACCGGACGTGTGCTCCTGTTGACGTTCGATCGTCCTCCGAGGAGAAAGAGTGGTAGCAGGTGCGGTCAAGAAGGCACCGCCCGCACCTGTGGAAGGATGGGAAGAACGAGAATGGGAACAGGAAAAACATGTGCACAAAAATGAGACACCCCACGCCCACCTGTGGAAGGCGTCACAAGGGGAAGGTACATCTTCAGCAGCACGTTTGTTTTTAGCATTCACAAAAACACTTCTACAACCAAGAAGAGCCCACCTCTTTCATGCCTTGAAACCACTGCAGTCGTTTAGGCGCGACTGGTGGAGGTATATGTGCAGCAGCGCGCCCAGTAGAAACAGCAGCAGCAGCATAACCAAATATACCAACCCACAACGCATCTTCTTTATGCCTTGGAACCGTCTCTCAAGGTCATTGAGGCGTGACTGGTGGAGGTACATGGGGACCAGCAAAGTGAACCAAAATATACCAACCCAAGATGCGACGCACCTCCTTCATCCCTTGGAACCGTCTCTCCAGGTCGTTGAGGCGTGACTGGTGGAGGTACATGTGCAGCAGCGCGTTCACAGCAGCAGTGAGCGGCCCTCTCTCTGCCCGCAGCATGGCCCTAAAAAACCCCTCCGCCTCCTCCCCCCACCTCTCCGCCTCCCTTGTGCTCCCCATTACCCCGCTCGCCACCGCTGCTCCTGCCAGTGCTGCAAGATAAGCATTGCACGCGCGCAGCCCGGGAAGACAAAGACTCTCCCCTCCGTATGCATCTGCTGCTGCTGCTGCTGCTTCTCTGCTTCCCATACGCATGCCCCGCGCTGCACGCTCCCACTCGCCCACCCTCCCTCTGCTCGCATCACCCATCAGATCATCCTCCTCTCTTTCCTGCCACTCTGCCGCCACTCTCTTGATCGCCATGACATGCGGCCATGCAGCAATGCTCGCTTCATACCGCCCTGCATGGTTCAGAGTTTCCATATATGCCGCCCACACCCTCTCACCCACCTCATATCCCTTCTCTCCACCCTCCTCCTCTCTCTTCCTGTCTCGATCCCCCTTTCCTTCCCCTCCTCGAGCCCTCACAGCCTCGTGTAATTCCCTCATGGCAGCAGACACATGATCAGCCAGTGCTGCAGCGGCCAACTCCCCTTCCTCCTCTCCTCCCCCTGTGCCTCCTCTGCTGTATCCCCTACCTCCTCTACCCATATCTTTCTGCGACCCCACCACTCCCCCTTTCTCTTTCCTCTTTTTGCTCAGATACACCGCCCGGGCGCATGCAAACACCACCGCTTCGACTGCCTGGGGCGGCACCGTTCGTCCCGATGCCGCCAGGTCGTCCCGCATCTGCTGTAACAGGGTTACCACCTTGCTGACGTGGCCCTCCCTGGCGTGATGCCGCACCAGAGACGCGTACATGTGCAGCAGAGGGGCCGAGCTGCGCTGCTGATTCTTCCCTTCCCCCCTCCTCTCCCTCGTCTCTCTTAGGAGTGATTCTGCCTTGTGCATGTGGCGGCCTCGCCACTTGGGGCTGGAAAAGGCCTGGAGGAAACGGTGGCAAGTGGTAGAAAGTGGTGAAAATGGTTTTTTGCTTCCCTCTTCTCCCTCATCTCTTTCAGAAGCGCCTCTGCCTTGTGCATGTGGCGCCCTCGCCACTTGGGGCTGGAAAAGGCCTGCAGAGAGGAAGGGGGAGGGAAGGGGATGGAAGTGGAGCAGGGGAGGGAGGTGGGGGGCAGTGGGAGTAAGGAGAGTGAGGGGGCGTTTGTAGAAGCGCCTCTGCCTTGTGCATGTACCATCCTCGCCACTTGGGGCTGGAAAAGGCCTGGAGGACGAAGGGGGAGGAGAGGGTGGCGGGATAGGTTGTGGTGTGGGGTGGGGAGCGGAAGAGGTGGGGACAAAGCACAAGGGGCAATGCACGTTGTCACCCACTCACTCACACCCACTCACTCACCCACCCACTCACACCCACTCACACCCACCCACCCACCCACCCACCCACCCACCCATTCACTCACTCACCCACCGACCCACGCACCTCAAACATCTGCTGCACATGCCAGTGAGGCGTGCTGCCCCTGCCTCTCCCCCTTTTCTTTCAACCCCTTGCACTCATTGTCACGCACCTTAAACATCTGCTGCACAAGCCAGTCAGGAGTGCTGCCCCTTGCCCCCCTCCCTCTCCCCCATGCCATACAGCTGCCACACGCGCTCCATCTCATCATGCGCCGATTTCAGCAGCATGCGTAGCAATACAACCCACTCACTTCTACCTCCATTCTCTACCACTGATCCACTCACCCACTCACCAACTCACCCACTCACACAACCCATCCACGCACCTCGAACATCTGATTGACAAGCCAGTCGGGTGTGCTGCCCCTGCCCCCCTCTCTCTCCCCCATGCCATACAGCTCCCACACGCGCTCCATCTCATCATGCGCCGACTTCAGCAGCGCGCCCATGCATGTCTGCACCACGCGCAGCGGCACAGCCGACCCCACCGAACCCACCGGCCCCACCGGTCCCACTGGCCCCACCGGCCCCGCCGACACAGCCGACCCCACCGGACCCACCGGTCCCACCGGTCCCACTGGCCCCGCCGGCACAGCCGACCCCATCGGCACTGCTGTGTGGTGGAGAGGTGCCGTTTCAGTCGACTCAGAGGACACACAAGGCACGAGCGCCTGGGACGAGGGCCCTACACTGCCCTGTGCCTCTGGCGGTGCGTGGGGGTGGAGGGAGAGGCAGTGGTCGAGAAGGGCGAGCATGGGTGGAATGCGGTGCGTGCGCGCTAGGAGGAGGAGGAGTGAGGAGAGGAGCGGTGGGGAGGGCGAGTAGAATGGCTGCTGCTGCGCCCACTGGAGGATCTGGAGGGGTGGGGCGGGTGGGGGCCGGGGGGAGGGGGGAGGTGAGAGGGAGGGAACGGGAGAGATGGGAGGAAATGTGAGAGAGGTGTGGCATGCATTGCATTGAGATGAGATTGCGCCCTCCCTGCCTGTGGGCGGGCGAGTAGAAGGACTGCTGCTGGATGTATTGAAATCACTTTCGAGAATTGTGAAAAGTGGTTTCGCCAATTTTCAAAAGTGGTTTCGAGTAGAAGGGCTGCTGCTGCGCCCATTGGAGTATCTGGAGGGAAGAACCGGAGGGACGGGAGAGGGGGAGTTGGGAGGTTGAGGGAGACGAGGGAGAAAGAGGGGGTGGGCTGAATTGACGTTGCTCCCTACATGCATACATGCATGCAAGGGCGCATGATGCAGGTGCTGTGCCGATTTCTACGTCTGAATTCAATGGAAAATGGCCAGATAAATGTCAATCAACAGAGCATAACACTCCGTCCTCACCCTGTAAGCGCGAATGCCATCCCCCTTGTTCATCATACCCTCCACCAGCCACTGCGCCTCTGCCCACCCCACGCGCCCCTCCCGCCCCGCCCTCTCCAGCGCCCTCCCCAGCGCCTCCCGCCGCATCCGCGCCAGATTGTCGCGCAACCTCTCCATCTCCCGCCCAGCGGAGGGGGAAAGCTTCTCCGCGCCCTCCCCACTCTTCCCTCCAGCGGAACCGCTACGTTCTTTCCCCCGCGCGCCCTGCTCTCCCCCCGTCGACTGTGCCCCTGCGAGCCCTTCCCGCCTTCCGCCCCCGCTCAAACTCCCCCCTTTCCGCGCGCCGGTGTTTCTTCTTCCCCACCCGTCCACATGCTCTGCCGCCTTTTCGGCACCCTTTTTCCGCCAGCCGCCTGAATTCCCCCCTCCCCATCTTCCGCCTCCTCCCCTTCCCCCCGCAGCCTCTGCAGCTGCGGATCGCTCCCGCAAATCCTCCGCCACAGCGAATCTCCCTCCGCTGGCCAGCCCACGCGGGGAGAAGACTTGGGGGGCGATCAGCGGAAAGATTGTGGCTTGCGCGTCATAACGCCCGCGCGGGAATGGAGGAAATTGCGCGCCAAGAATAGGGGAGACTGGCGACAGCAGCCGAAGCGACTGTATATAATGCGGGAGAGAGGATTTGGTTGATGATTGAGTCAATTGGGTAAACTGGGTCAACTGAGTCAACTGAGTCAACTGAGTCAACTGATCTGACTGATTTGACTGAGTCAACGCATCATAGGCAGGTCTCGCTGCCGCCGTGCGATACCCATTGCGCGCCGCCGCGCGGCGATCCCGCGGCGGTGCAATCGGAGCTCGCCAGCTGGCAGCCGGAGATTCGGCGACACTGCACCGACGCCACGTGCGGCAGATCGTGATTGGCCAGGCAGTTCCACCAGAGCCTCGCATCGCCGCCGTGGCTGGCCGGCAGGTGCTGACGCGGCTACTGGTTGTTGAGTGCCTGAACGCGCCTCGTCCCCCATTCAACGGATTGAAGAAAGAGAATTCCCAAGCGCTTATTGAGCCTCAATTTCCTGTAGTCGTTAAGAGGCAACGCATTACGGTCTGATCCGATCGCATTGCTACAATGATGGGACTTTTATAGAGGTCTCCTTGGGTTGGGGTTGAACCTTCAGAAAACAATAACCCTTGGTAGACCCTCAGACCATTCTGATAACGGAGGAATTCGTAGCGGGTTTAGATTGGAACGGATCGATCATCCCTTTTTCACGCAGACCACAAACCCATACCCTCAACCCTTTCCCGAATCCCGAATTCGGAAACACCTCCATACCAGATCTGGCAGCAATCGGCGCAGCACGCCTCTAGTCTCCGCAACTCACGCATCCTAGAAAGTTTTTCTATCTATTCACCCCCGCGTGACTATAGCGGGCGGCATGGCGGCGGTGAGCGCGGACGCGGTGTGCGCGTGGCTGCTGCAGACGACGAGCGCGGACGAGGCGGCCGTGCGATCCGCCAGCTCAGCGTTGGAGGAAGCTTCCAAGCACCCGGGATTCCTGGGCCACGTGTTGTCCGTCGCAGCAGGTGCTCATAGTTTGCCGCCGCCCTTCCCCCACTCTTCTTTCCCCCGGATCGCTCCCTTCGCGCACCTCGCGAGGTCGCCGTTTACTTCGCTTAGGATTCTGGAGACGAGCTTCGGTCTCCCGCATTTTCGGAGGAGTAGGTCGAGATTCGTTCCACTTGTTCTGGCCCTCCTCGTCCTCATTGAGGTCGTTTTTGAGGCGCCTCAAAAACGACCTCATTTTCGGAGTAGGTCGAGATTCGTTCCACTTGTTCTGGTCCTCCTCGTCCTCATTCTCATTCTGATTCTCGCCGTGCGGTTGACACCTCGCTTTTGAGTCGACTCAAAGGCGGACGCATTTTCGGAGCAGGTGAAGATTCGTTCACATAGTTCTCGTCCTCCTCGCCCCCCTGCTTCTCCTCGCCCCCCTGCTTCTCCTCGCCCCCCTGCTTCTCCTCGCCCCCCTGCTTCTCCTCGTCCCCTGATTCTCCTCGTCCCCCCTGCTTCTCCTCGTCCCCATTCTCATTCTGACTCTCGCCGTGCGGTTGCCACCTCGTGCGGGAAGAGTTGTCCTTCTTTCCCTTTCGAGCCGATCTCGGCCGTACGATGCGATCTCAGCCGTGCCATTGAGATTTCGACCGTACATTCTCCGTGCAATCGCATTGCGGGTGGCACTCGGCAATTGGACTCAACACTTCATACCAAAACCCGAACTCTACTGTCCTCCTTCCACGTCGCCTCTCTGCCCAGTCCCCGGATCCCCCATGGCTCTCACAGTGCCCCCCCCCCATTTTACCCTCCCCCCGGCTTCCCCCTTCCCCACCTTCCCCTCTTCCCCAGTGCCCAACTCCCCAGCAGCCCTGTATTTCAAGAACGTAGCAGTGGCGAAGCGGAGGGGCGCGGGCAGCAAGGGGCGGGTGCAGCCGCCCACACCCTCACCCCTTCCCTCCCATTCCTCCCCTCCTTCCCCCCCGTTCCTCCCCCAGTGCCCAACTCCCCAGCAGCCCTCCCCGCGGCCCTGTATTTCAAGAACGTGGCGGTTGGCGAAGTGGAGGGGCGCAGGCAGCATGGCCACCTCTCAATTCCCTTCCACACCCTCCCGTGTCTCCCCCTCCTCCTCTCTCCCTCCCCCCAGTTCCCAACTCTCCAGCAGCCCTCCCCGCGGCCCTGTATTTCAAGAACGTGGCGGTGGCGAAGTGGAGGGGCGCGGGCAGCAAGGGGCGGGTGCAGCTGCCCGGGGGGAAGGAGGAGCAGGAGGCAGTGCGGGTGCAACTGGTGGAGGTGTTATTGCGGTCTGGGCAGGGGAAGATTCTGAGCGTGCTTATTGAAGCGGTATGTGACTGTAAAGGGGGTGGGGAGGGCTTGCTCTTGTGGGTAGTTCCAAAGGAGGTGTGACACTCACACAGGGAGCAGGAGGGGTGCAACTGGTGGAGGTGCTACTGCGGTGCACCCAGGGGAAGATTCTCAGCGTGCTCATGGAAGCGGTATGTGATTCTAGGGGAATGAATTAGCCTGAAGGTAGTCTCAGAGGGGATATGAGTGACTCTAAAGGGAGGAGCAGGAGGCAGTGCGGGTGCAACTGGTGGAGGTGCTACTGCGGTCTGGGCAGGGGAAGATTCTGAGCGTTCTTATTGAGGCGGTATGAGTGGTTCTATGGGAGGAAATGTGCGTGTAGGTAGATTCAGAGGGAACATCAGTGCCTCTACCACCAGCCACAGGGAGCAGGAGGCGGTGCAGGTGCAACTGGTGGAGGTGCTACTGTGGTGCACCCGCGGGAAGATTCTGAGCGTTCTTATTGAAGCGGTATGTGGCTGTATAGAGATAGTGGCTTGTTCTTGTGGGTAGTTGTAACAGGGGTGAAACTCCCTGCAAAAGGAGGAGCAGGATACAGTGCGGGTGCAACTGGTGGAGGTGCTACTGCGGTGCGTGCGGACAGGGGAAGATCTTGAGCGTGCTTATTGAAGTGGTACGTGATCGCAGGGGATGGGAGGGGAAGTGCCTGTGGCAGTGTCTCTGGATTCTGAGAGGATGTGAGTGAGTGAATCTCAAAGCCACTCTGCTCTCCAGTGATTTCATCTCATTCGAAACTCTTCAGTCCCCTCACCCTTTCCCCCCTTTTCCCTCCCCTCCTCTCCCCTCCCACCCCATCAGTTCTCTGCCGTCGTGCGCACCAAGTTGGCTCCCCCCTCTGGCTGGCCCCAGCTGCTACCGGGCCTCAAAGCCGCTCTGCTTTCCTCGCCCTCCCTTTCCTCCCCTCCCCTTTCCTCTCCCAATTCCCACCCCATCAGTTCTCTGCCGTTGTGCGCACCGAGTTGGCTTCCCCGTCGGGCTGGCCGCAGCTGCTTCCAGGCCTCAAAGCAGCGCTGCTCTCCAGCGATCTCATCCGAGCCATCGGTTCCGCCTCCGCCGCTGCTCCTGGGCCGTCGGATCCCGCCTCTGCTGCAGCGACATTCTCTACAGTCACTGTGCTCACAGTCCTTCGTGCTGTCACGAAGCCATACAGGGTATGTCCTTCTGAGTGGGCTTGCGGCTGATCACTGTCTTTCAGTTCAGAGGTGATTATGGTTATACCACTTCTTTCCAAGTGGTCTCTCAAGTTATCAGAGATCTATTTTCGAAGCGCCTCAACTATGTTAGAATCTCTTTTGAGATATTTCACAAGGGGCTTCATTGTGGTTTCTATGAAGTCCACTTCCTTTTGTGAAGGAACAAAGGCTTGGAGGGGAGAGTAATCTCTATGGCTGATGTTCCTCGGCTTTCTCTCTGCCTCTTCTTCCTTCCACCTCTCCTCCCAATCCACGCCCTTTTCCCCCTTTGACAACACTTCCTCCAGCCGGTGCCCCCAGAGCCGATAGCCTGGTAGCAATTGATTGAAGAAATGGTTTGAGACGTCTCAAAACATTTCTTCAATCACGTGTCTCCAGTCCAGCCGGTGCCCCCAGAGCCGGTAGCCTGGTAGCATTTGACTTCTGAGGCGCCTCAAAAGACAACACTTTTCCACTCCCCCCTTCCACCACAGTACTTTCTCAACCCCACCAACGACAAGGAGCCGGTGCCGCCTGTGCTGGAAGCAACGGCTACTCATGTTCTCCTCTTTCTCTCTTTATTCTTCGACTCCTCACTCCCCTCCACCACAGTACTTCCTGGACCCCACCAACGACAAGGAGCCAGTGCCGCCTGTGTTGGAAGCGCTGCTGCCACTCATGCTCCTCTCTGTGTTCAACTCCCTCCTCCCCCCACCACAGTACTTCCTGGACCCTACCAACGACAAGGAGCCGGTGCTGCCAGTGCTGGAAGCAATCGCATCGGACCTGCTGCTGCCACTCATCTTCCTCCCTGTCTCTTCGTCCGCCTCAACCTCTTTGACTATTTTTCCACTCCCCCCCACAGTACTTCCTGGATCCTACCAACGACAAGGAGCCGGTGCCGCCTGTGCTGGAAGCAATCGCATCGGACCTGCTGCTGCCGCTCATGCCACTCATGCACCACCTCATTGCGGCCCAGGTGTGACTGTAGGATAGGAGATGTGTGTTTTCATCATAGGACAGTGCAGTGCAGTGCAGTGCAATGCATGGCATGGCATGGCATGGCATGGTACTGTGCTGCTACCACTCATTGCCGCTCAGGTGTATGTGACTGCTTGAATGGCATGGCATGGCATGGCATGGCGTGTCGATAGCATGGCAGAGCATGACATGGCATGGCATGGAATGACAAAGGATTACATGGCATGATAGTGCTGGAAGCGATTGCATTTGACCTGCTGCTCTGCTGTCCATCATGCCACGCCACTCATACACCACCTCATTGCGGCGCAGGCGTGTTTGACTGCTGGACAAGGTGATGTGTGCGATACGCATGGAGCATGGCATGGCATGGCATGGCATGGCATGGCATGGCATGGCGTAGCATGGCATGGCGTGGCATGGCATGGCATGGCATGGCATGGCGTGGCATGGCATGGCATGGCATGGCATGGCATGGCATGGCATGGCATCACATCACATCGCATGGCATGATCATGCTCGAACCATCTGCCTCCTTCGACCTGTTGCTGTCTCATGCCTCTCCTCGAATCCATCCTCTTTGTGTCTCGCCTGCATGCCCCTCCCTCCCCTCGCCCTGTACCCACTCCACAGGCACAACAGTCAAGCCCCCGAGCACCATCTGCGCATGATGAAGCGCTGCTGCTTATTCTCAAGACTCTCCACCTCTCTGTGAGTGCATCTCTATGTGAGTGCACTTCTCTGTGAGTGCACTTCTCTGTGAGTGCACTTCTCTGTGAGTGCACTTCTCAGTGAGTGCACTTCTCAGTGAGTGCACTTCTCAGTGAGTGCACTTCTCAGTGAGTGCACTTCTCTGTGAGTGCACTTCTCTGTGAGTGCACTTCTCAGTGAGTGCACTTCTCTGTGAGTGCACTTCTCAGTGAGTGCACTTCTCTGTGAGTGCACTTCTCAGTGAGTGCACTTCTCTGTGAGTGCACTTCTCAGTGAGTGCACTTCTCAGTGAGTGCACTTCTCTGTGAGTGCACTTCTCTGTGAGTGCACTTCTCAGTGAGTGCACTTCTCTGTGAGTGCACTTCTCTGTGAGTGCGCCTCTCTGTGAGTCTAAGTGGAGAAAGACGCGTCCTGCGTCTAGGACGCTTGCGTCCAGACGCAGCGTCTTATACGCAGGACGCTAGAGGAGGGCCTTTAGGACGCATGAAAAGACGCATGCCCGGGCAGGGCAAAAAAAACCCCCGGGCAGGCGAAAAATGATGTTATAGGGTATGGGAAGGGGGAGGGGCACGACTATGCACACATTTGAGGCAAAATCGTCCCCTTCAAATTTCCAGGGTTTAGGGTTTACGAAGGAGAATTGTCTTGGTAAACCCTGTAGGGTGTTTTTGATGGTCGAAATGGGTTAGGGGGGTTCGACATGACGTGAAATTGACAGTCGCGTCGAAATCGTTAAAGTCAATTTCGCGCTGAGGCAGATTTATTTTTCCGGTCAGCCCGAAAAAAAACGGGGTGTGTCCTGCGTCTCTGCGTCTGGACGCTGCGTCCAGACGCAGGACGCAGCAGGACGCGTGCGTCTTTCTCCACTTAGCTGTGAGTGCGCCTCTCTGTGAGTGCGCCTCTCTGTGAGTGCGCCTCTCTGTGAGTGCACATACATGCCTACCTGTCTGCCTGCATGCACCTCCATCGTTCAGTCTATGAACCCTTCAGCTGTCTCCTTGAGGCGCTTCAAATCGCCTCTGCATCTTTTAATGATGGGGTTGAGCTACCGATGGGGTTGAGCTACCGATGGGGTTGAGCTACCGATGGGGTTGAGCTACCGTTCACTTCGCTTTGCAGCAGCTCAAACCCCAACGCTGTCCTGCAAAGTTGCAACGTTCTGTTCTTCTCTCTCGTTTGCCCATCCAACGCCGTCTAACACCTTGGTTTGCCCCCTCCCCCTCAGGTTCAGAGCCACATGCCATCGGGTTTTTGAGAATTCTCTGGTTTTTGAGAATTCTCTGGTTTTTGAGAATTCTCAAACCCCAATGCTGTCCTGCAAAGTTGCAATGTTCATCTCTCTCGTTAGCCCATCCAATCCAACGCCGTCTAACACCCTGGTTTGCCCCCTCCCCCACAGGTTCAGAGCCACATGCCATCTGCAAGCACATCGACAGTATTGTTCCAGAGCTGCTGCTGCTGCTGCTGCTGCCGCTGCTCTCATGCTGAATCTCCCCTTGCTCTTATCTTCGTGCCACAGGTTCAGAGCCACATGCCATCAGCCATCCGCAAGCACATAGACAGCATTGTCCCAGAGCTGCTGCTGCTGCTCTCACACTGCCCGCCCACCCTCGCAGCAGCGGTAGCAGCAGCAGGGCAGGAGGAGGGGGAAGTGATGGATGGGGAAGGGGGGGCAGAGGGGGGAGGTGCAGCAGCAGTGTGGGAGGTGCGGCTGAAGGGGTGCAAGCGAGCGCTGCAGATCTGCCATGCTCTGGCCAGCCGGCACCAGAAGCTGACAAACAAGTGAGTGCCAGTGCTTGCCTCTAGTGTTACTCCGTAACTCGTGTGTCGTCACTGGCCAGCCGCCACCAGAAGCTGACCAACAAGTGAGTGGCTCTCTGCTTCCAGTGTTACTTGGTAACTCGTGTCTCGTCTCACAAATGCAAGGATTCTCATGTGGGAGGTGCGGCTGAAGGGGTGCAAGTGAGCGCTGCAGATCAGCCATGCTCTGGCCAGCCGCCACCAGAAGCTGACCAACAAGTGAGTGACTTGGTTTTCAGTGTTAGCTTGTATCTCAAGCGGTCATTGCATTGATATGGATACGTCAAAGGAACCATCAGAGATAATGGGTGGCTGAGCTAGTGGTGTTTTAGAGGGCTAACATGCAAGCAATGGTAATCCACAGATGCAAATGGGATGCAAGTGGGTGCTGCAGGCCTGCCATGCTCTGGCTGGCCGACACCCCCTGAAGCTGCTGATGAACGAGTGAGTGAGTAACGCCTTTTGAGTCGACTCAAATATCAGCAGGCCTGCCATGCTCTGGCTGGCCAGCCGACACCAGAAGCTGCTGATGAACGAGTGAGTAACGCCTTGCTCGCACTGGTGAAAGGCAGGCATGCTTGAATCAAGTGCCTCTTTAAATGAAAGTATGTTCACATTCACATGCACCTCAGTAATGTTCTCTGCTTGGTTCCCTTCTGCAGGTCACTCTTTCCTCCCCTCCCCACTACCGCACCTCCTCGGCTCTTTGGACCCCCTTCTGTTTTTTGAGAATTCTCAATTTTTTTTTTTTAGAATTCTAAAAAAAACAGACCCTGCTCCATTCCCTCTCCATCTTCCCGTCCCTTTCCTTTTCCCCTCCCGTTGCCTGTCCCACCCACCGTGTGCGCCTTCCAGGCACTTTCCTGCCATGGTGGACGGCATCACAGGCATCGTCTGCAACTCACTGTGGACCAATAAGGTGCAGACACGTGGCAGGGGCTTCCTTTCTGTGCCACATGGGGCTGGTTGCTGTTGCTGCTATCCACTCTAGTGTGTTGTTGCTGATCTGTTGATGGTCCAATCTAACACAACTGCTTCACCTTGATTGTCAGTTATTCCCTACCCCTTCATTGAAGAAGGGTTTTGAGACGTCTCAAAACCCTTCTTCAATCACGTGTTTGTCAGTTATTCCCTACCCCTTCTTCCCCCCTCGATTTACCCGCCCCTCGTTTAACCCCAACCTCTTCTCCCCACCCGCCCTTTCCCTGCCCCCCCCCCCCCCCCTTCCTCCTTCCTCCACCTTCTTCTCCCCCCGTCATCCACTCCTCCTTTCCCCCCCCGTCTCCTCCGCCACCCTGTTCATCCCTCTCCCTCCCGCCAGCTCCCATTAGCAGCGCGTCGTGTGATCGCAGTGGCGTTCACCGCCATCTCTCAAGTGCTCGACTCCGCTCCGGTGAGTCCTTCAAAGGCAGGCACCGCAAAGCTTTTGAGGTGAGTCGAAACCCGTCGTGTTATTGCAGTGGCGTTCACGCTCTGCCGGTTCTCAAGTGCTCGACTCCGCTCCAGTCAGTGTTTTCCTTGCCTTGCTTGCATGCCCAATTTGGATTGAATTTTGGGTATTCTTAAAAGTGTTTTGCCCATGCATGGGGGGAAAATTAGTGCTCAAGCATGTTTGCTTTATTGCCTTGTAGCAGGAGTTTGCATTCACGGCCATCTACTGCCATCACTGATTTTGCTACTTGAGAGATGGCAGTGTTTGCATTTACTGGGGGCAAAATCTAATCTATTGCCTTGTAGCAGGGGTTTGCATTGCACTCACTGCCATCTCTCTCAAGTGCTTCACTCTGCCTGCCCCTGTCAGTGCCGACTTGCTTGCACGAGCATGTGAGGACGACTTGAACTGAAGTAGCTCAGTGACTAATGCCGCACTGCACCGCACTGCACTGGTGTTCTTGTGCACCCGAGTCATCTCCTCATGCCCTCATCTCCTCCCTGCGCCCTCGTCCCCCCACGCACGCTCCATGCCCCCCATGCTTGCATGGCTGGAAGGCGGTGGCTCCCTAATTCGCCCATCTGCCAGAGGCCAACTGGAGAGCCAACGCCTCAGTCTGATAGGGTTCACTCTAATAAGACTTTATTCCACTTCCACCCCATACCCCTTTCCCCACGCTCCATGCCCTTATGCCTGCAGGGCTGAAAGGCGGTGGCTCCCTAATTCGCCCATCTGCCAGAGGCCAACTGGAGAGCCAACGCCTCAGTCTGATAGGGTTCACTCTAATAAGACTTTATTCCACTTCCACCCCATACCCCTTTCCCCACGCTCCATGCCCTTATGCCTGCAGGGCTGAAAGGCGGTGGCTCCCTAATTCGCCCATCTGCCAGAGGCCAACTGGAGAGCCAACGCCTCAGTCTGATAGGGTTCACTCTAATAAGACTTTATTCCACTTCCACCCCATACCCCTTTCCCCCACGCTCCATGCCCTTATGCCTGCAGGGCTGAAAGGCGGTGGCTCCCTAATTCGCCCATCTGGCAGAGGCCAACTGGACTGGAGAGGCAACGCCTCAGTCTGATAGGGTTCACTCTTCTGGAAACTTTTGAGTCGACTCAAAAGCAGAGGCCAACTGGAGAGGCAACGCCTCAGTCTGATAGGGTTCACTCTTCTGGAAACTCATTCCACTGCCGCTCCCCCGCCCGTGCCGTGCCCCACTCCCTCCCCAATCTTGCCCCATGCCTGCAGGGCTGGAAGGTGGTGGCTCCCCAATTCGCATTCGCCCACCTGCTAGAGGCCGCCATCTTCCCCAAACAGCAACCCCCCTGCTGAATCCCCCCAATTCCCCCATCCATGCTCCCACCACGCCCCCCATGTCTATGTGCCCACAGGGCTGGAAGGTGGTGGCTCCGCAGTTCGCCCACCTGCTAGAGGCCGCCATCTTCCCCGCTCTCTGCCTGCACCCCCAGGTGAGCACCCCTCTCCCGCTCCCCCCCTTTCCCCCCTTTTCTCCGCACCCTCCCCACCTCCCCTCCCCCACCCCCCCCTGATTCTCTTTCTCTTTTTTTATTAACGCTTACTGCTTGCACCCCCACATGAGTGCGCCTCCTTGTTATCGCGGTGAAGGCACGTCGATTGAACTGTATCTGTGCACTCAACAATTCCACTCGCACATGTATTGAATAAACTTCTTATTCCTTGCATGTTGCATTGCATTCGCGTGAAGTGATACAAGTGGTGAGGGGCCTCAAAGGTTTCTCCATAGTCTCAATCAAATTACTGCCTTGCCTGCCTGACTGTTTCATCTGGGGGGGTCCCTCTCCAACTTGCTTTCATCAGTCTTTGCTCGTTCTGGTCAACGACACTAAGATTATGGGGCGCCCTTTCTGTGCTTCTTTTTGGGCGGCAGGATTTGGAACTCTGGGAAGAGGACGAGGAGGAGTACGTGCGACGGAACCTACCCACGGATCTAGTGAGTGGCGGCTGTTGGTGTTTTCCCAATTTTAATTTTATTTCTAGTTACTGCTCTCGTGTATTTTTCACGCGCTGAGAAAATCGGTGATTATTGTACCTTGAATATGATTAGGTTGAGATCAAGAGCTATGATCATCCAGGGCAGCCTTTTCTTTGGAGCATCTCAGAAACCGACACTTCTCTTTCTTCCCCCTCTACACGTTTTTCTGTGTTTCTGTTGCCAGGGTGGCATTGATGAGATAGAGAGTTTTGTGTTAGTGTTAGCCCTCAATCTCACACTTTGTACTTTATATTTTCTATATCCTAGAGTAGTGTAGTTTGCACTTTGTGTTTGGTTGGGTGTACACCTACATCCCAACCAAACCCAAATGTAATCTCCAAGCAATCTCCAACCCACCAATTGGAGATTGCCTTGGGATTACCCCCAATTCCTAGGGATTGCCCCCGATTCTCTTCCCCATCCATTCCCTACCCTTCTTGGATGTACTTAAAGAGCTTCAAGTTCATTACTAATGTATCAGTTCTAAGCCTAAGTTGTAACAGTTTGACCTACGATGGGCTGGAGAAGGGGTTTGCTAGTATTCTTGAGGCGCCTCAGAATCTGACACACCTCTCATTCCCCCCTACCTCATGGTTGACCTTTTCTTGTGGCCAGGATGACATGGATGAGATCGAAAGCTATGACCCACAGCAGTGTGCTGTTGAGGCGCCTCAGAAAGTGGCATCTTTCCTTCTCTCTCCCTGTTCTTTACCATTCTGTTCTGTGGCCAGGATGACATGGATGAGATGGAGAGCTATGACCCGCGGCAGTGTGCTGCTCACCTGCTGGCGCTCATCGCCACGTCCAAGGTAATGTGTGGGTGCTGTTGGGTGTACCGTCACCAAGCTTCTGATAAATACATGTACACGTACATGCATCCGTCATGCATCATACATGACCTGCTGCAGTGTGCTGCTCACCTGCTGGCGCTCATTGCCACGTCCAAGGTAATGTGTGGGTGCTGTTAGGTGTACCATCGCCAAGCGCCTGATAAATACATGTACACGTACATGCATCCGTCATGCATCATACATGACCTGCTGCAGTGTGTTGCTCACCTGCTGGCGCTCTTTGCCTCGTCCATGGTAGTGTATGGTGTGGTATGGTATGGTGTGGTGTGGTGTACCATCACCATGGTGCTGATACATGCATGGAAGCATCCTTCCATCCATCCATCCGTGCCTGCATGCCTACACTATACATACATGCAACATGCATGCATACACACATTCATGCATGCATACATGCATGCGTGCACACATATGTACACATCATATGAGCATGCACACGCATGCTAAACCTCCCACATGCGCACACCTCTTCTTACCAACACACTCCTTCCTATGTGTCAAGCCTTCCTAGTTCCTCGTTCGGTTCTCCTGGCTCCTTGCTTTCAACTGCTCAAGCAGAAGGCAGGGCGAGACAGCGACGCCCCTCTTCAAAATCAACTCTCCCCACACTCGCTCATCCCGTTTGCCTCTCCTCCTGTGCATGGTAAGCAGGCAAGCCCAGCCCAGCCAAGGGTAAGCCGGGCGCAGCAGCAGCAACAACAGCAGCAGCAACAACAGCAGCAGCAACAACAGCAGCAGCTGGCAGGACGAGTCATAGACGGCCCTCCGCAAACTCGACTCGCCCCACACTTGCTCGTTCTTCCTCTGTGTGATTGTTTCATCCGTGTCGCTCGCTCCTCTCCCACATGCACAACACAGGGAAGCCCCGCCAAGGGTAAGCCGGGCGCAGCAGGAGCAGCAGCAGGTGGAGACGAGACCGTCCACGCTTACTCTTCAGACTCAACTCCCCCCACACTCACCCATCCCCTCTGACAAAGCAGGGAAGCCCCGCCAAGGGTAAGCCGGGCGCAGCAGGAGCAGCAGCTGGCAAATCCACGTCGCCAGCAGCGGGCAGAAGGAGACAACGAAGGCCGGCCGCTACCAAGGACACTGACGCAGCAGCAGCTACAGTGGTGCTTCCGTTCCTCTCCAGGTGCGTGCGTAAATGTGTGTACGTATGCTTTTTTGAGTCGACTCAAAAGTCCTCTCCTGGTGTGTGGGAGCGAGCGTGCGTGCATGTGTGGTATGTATGCATTTATGGTTTCTCTGTTGCATTCCAACATGCTGAAACAAAGTGAAGGAGGAGAATAGGAGTGGCACTGTTATTTTTCTGTCTCCTACTCTAATCCTGTTTGATCTACCCTCTCCTGCATCCACTCAGGTGCTCTTTGTCCTGCCCTCTCCTTTCCAGGTTCCCTCTTTCTCGCTGATGTTGCCATGTGCCAGTGGAGTGGACGGGAAGGCATGGCATAGTTGTGGCAAATTCGAGGGGAATTCAAGCGCCTATGAAGATGTTATCATGATAAATAAAACAACACCATAAAGCTCCCTTTTCTGCCGTCTCCAGGTTCCCTTTCCCAGCAGATGCTGCTGTGCCAATGAATGGCATGTTTGTCGCGGGAGCAGGGGTGGGGCAGGCTCCTGTCGTGCAAATGCTGCCACTTCTGCTTCTGATGTGCCTTGAAAACGTGCTCCCTGCCCTGCCCTGCCGTGCCCCGTCCTCTCCAGGTTCCCTCTCCCAGCTGATGCTGCCGTGCCAATGGAAGGCATGTTTGTGGCGGGGGCAGGGGGAGGCCAGGCTCCTGCCAACCCTGCCAGTGCTGCTGTTGTCCAGTGAGGCTCGATTCCCTTTCCTTTCTTTGCTCCCTGCTCCCTCCCTCCCGGCTTCCCTCCCTCCCTCCCGGCTTCCCTCCCTCCCTCCCGGCTTCCCTCCCTCCTGGCTTCCCTCCCTCCCGGCTTCCCTCCCTCCCTCCCTCCCTCCCCCTCCCTCCCTCCCTCTCTCCCTCCCTCCCTCCCTCTCTCCCTCCCTCCCTCCCTCCCTCCCTCCCTCCCTCCCTCCCTCCCTCCCTCCCTCCCTCCCTCCCTCCCTCCCTCCCTCCCTCCCTCCCTCCCTCCCTCCCTCCCTCCCTCCCTCCTCCCATCTCTCCTTCTCTCCCGCCTTTCCTCCTCTCATCAACTAGTCTGCTGCCCGAAATTCTGCTAGTGCAGCTGCTATTTCCGTTTTCTGCTGTTTTCTATGGCCCCCTCTTTCCCTCCTCCTTCCTCCTCTCCCCCCCACACTTCCCACCGCCTCTCTCTTTGCTGCTTGTCATTCCCTCCGTTTGCCCCAATATTTTCACCCCATCCCATCACCCATCGCCCATCACCCATCGCCCATCACCCATCACCCATCACCCATCACCCGCGCATCGCAGCTACTTCGGCGTTCTGCAAGCCTATGCAGCCATGAAAGAGGTACACACACACACACACACACACACACACACACACACACACACACACACACACACACACACACACACACACACACACACACACACACACTTACGTGGGTACAAGCTTACGGGGTAGCTAGCAATTGCGTTCGTCGTAAAAGATGGGTTCCATGTCAAGAGTCGACCTAAAAGATGGGTTCCATGTCAAGAGTCGACCTAAAAGATGGGTTCCATGTCAAGAGTCGACCTAAAAGATGGGTTCCATGTCAAGAGTCGACCTAAAAGATGGGTTCCATGTCAAGAGTCGACCTAAAAGATGGGTTCCATGTCAAGAGTCGACCTAAAAGATGGGTTCCATGTTTTAGGCAGCCCAAAGGTAGGCAGCCCAAAGATAGACTATGCGACCATTCACGAAAGATGGGTTCCATGAAAGATGGGTTCCATGAAAGATGGGTTTCATGAAAGATGGGTTCCATGAAAAATGGGTTCCATGAAAAATGGGTTCCATGAAAGATGGGTTCCATGGTACACATGCACATACATGGGTAGGAGAGAGTGCGTTCCTTGGCATATAAGCTGGCTTCCTATCATTCCATTCACTCACACTCACAATCACCATCAGCACAGTACCCTCAATCCCCTCGAATGCCCTCATCCTGAACCCCTCTTGTCCCTCTGCGAATTGCTCACAAACTAATCCGACCCCAACGGCCTTTGGCGCACTTGGAGTGGAAGAAGCGCTGCCAGCTTAGTTCATTAGGATCGCCACAACTGGCAGCCTGGCAGTGACAGTGATGCTTTCTTCAACAAAGAAAAACCTGCTCCCTCTCACCCTCACGTATCTCCACTTCGCCCCCTTCCCCTCCCCTTCCTCCTCTTGCTCTGCATCCTATCTTGCTCTGCTGTTCCCGCCCTTCCACCCCCACAGTACTTAGAGCGCCAGCCGGCCCACCTGGAACAGCTGCTGCCTACCCCTCTGCGTCCTTCCTCTGCTTCCTATCTGCCCACCCACACCCTCCCTCTCCCCCCACTCCCCCTTCCCTTTTACACCCCCCCAGTACTTTGAGCGCCAGCCAGCCCACCTGGAGCAGCTGCTGCCAGCTCACGTGCTGCCCCTCTTCTCGCAGCGCCACGTCAGCGCGGTCCTGTTGGCCTCTGCCACGTGGCTGCTGGGAGAGCTCTCCACCGCCCTGCCCGAGGTGACCAGCAACTGACAGCTGTGCAGTGTGCACTTTCGAAAATCTCTCAAAGGCAACTCGAACACTTTTCACTGTGCACTGTGTGCTGTGCACTGTGTGCAGTGATAGACGTAGACTAGCTCACCATTGCCTCCAGTCTGCTTCTTATGTGAGGCCACTGTGAATGGCGCTGTTGATCAACCAGCTGATTAATAGGACATGTGAGGCGCCTCAGAAAGCAAAGCAGTCTAGCCAGCCATCATGCTGACAGCCTTTTCCAGTGTAATGGAGCTGTTGGTTGGGCCTGTTGTTGTGCAAAAAAATTTAGGCGCCCCAACAGTCGTCTTTTCTTTAGGCGCCTCAAACATCCTCTTTTGAGGCGCCTAAAAAAAAAAAGGTGCTTGCTGCTGGCAGATTCGTGTGCAACCATTTCATGTGTGATGGAGCTGACTTTTGAGTCGACTCAAAACTCAAGAAGTCAAATTCTGAGTCGACTCAAAAGTCATGTGTGATGGAGCTGTTCCCTGCAACTACTATACAGCTGGCCGCCTCCGTGTGATGAGGCGATTTTTTATTCGACTCAAAAACTGGCCTCCTCCAAAATGTAGTTTGGTGAAGCATCCACAGCATTCACCTTCAGATTCGCCCAACCCACTTCGTTTCTCCGACTCTGTCCACATTTCACTCCTTATCTCCTCCTTATCCCCACTCCTTCGTCTTCTCCTCCCACTCCCGCTTTCATCCGCCCCACCAGTCCCTATACAACAATGTGTACGAGGCGAGCATGAAGGCCATGGCAGCAGGGGACGTGGACGTGGGTGCGTGAGCTTTTGAGGCGCCTCAAAAGATGGGTGCGTGAGCACACACACTTTTCGCCTTCCAATTCCACCTCCAACCCTATTTCTCCCCCAATCTGTCGCCCCATCAGTCCCTGCACAACCCTGTGTACGAGGCGAGCATGAAGGCCATGGCAGCAGGGGACGTGGATGGGCAGTCCTGGGCGGCTGTGCGCACTGCTGCGTCGCACTGCATCTCTTACCTCATCCAGGTGTGCTCTTGGTGCTCTTAGTGCTCTTTGTTCACTGCACGTGGCACATGCGGCCGCACACATGGGCGGCTGTGCGCACTGCATCTCCTACCTCATCCAGGTGTGCTCTTGTTGCACTGGATGCACGTGGTGCACTGGATGCACGTGGTACAGTGGATGCACGTGGTACAGTGGATGCACGTGGTACAGTGGATGCACGTGGTGCACTGGATGCACGTGGTATAGTGGATGCACGTGGTACAGTGGATGCAAGTTTGATCTTCTCTCTACTTGTGCTTACCAAACCTTTTGAGGCGCATCGAATGAGCCGACTAAAAAACAGCGTCAAATGACCTCTGTACATCCATGGTAACATATATCACATCACATCAAACCACATCTCGCATCCCTTTTCCATTCCTCCACCCACTCCCTATCCAGAATGAAGTGGAGCCATCTGATTGGCTGGCGTTTCTGCAAGCAGTGGTGGCAGCAACAAGAGCGGGGGAGGAGAGGGAGGCGGTGAGGGCGCTAGACCTGCTGGAGTCTGTGGCAGTGGAAGGGGGCGAGGGGGTGCACGCCCACCTGCCCGCCATCATTGCTGCTGTTGCAAATGACACCTGCGCAGCTCTGCCTCCCCCGGATCAGCCCTGGTCGCAGGTATGCCTTCTGTTGCACTGCATGTTCCAGCACTAGGTGTAGAGTGGGAAAACCCAGTATCAGTGAGGGCGCTAGACCTGCTGGAGTCAGTGGCAGTGGAAGGCTGCGAGGGCGTGCACGCCCACCTGCCCGCCATCATATCCGCTGTTGCAGATGACACCTGTGCAGCTCTGCCTCCCCCAGATCAGCCCTGGTCGCAGGTATGGGCTGTGCTGCTTGCACACGTATGAATACCCGCATCCCCCAACGGTGCGCGTACATTGGGTGGGTGAGTCCAATATTAGTAGCTGAGCGGGTTCTCGCTGTATGAAAACCACGCCCTCCCGCTGCATTAGTGCTGTATGAACATAAGATCATCCAACACAAGGGCGGGGGAGGAGAGAGGCACAGTAAGGGAGGAGAGAGGCGCAGTGGGGGAGGAGAGAGGCACAGTGGGGGAGGAGAGAGGCACAGTGAGGGCGGAGAGAGGCACAGTGGGGGAGGAGAGAGGCACAGTGAGGGCGGAGATGGCGTGCACGCCCACCTCCCCACAAGCATCGCTGCTGTTGCAGCTGTTGACTTTTGAGTCGACTCAAATTCTCCCCGCAATCATCGCTGCTGTCGCAGCTGACGCCTGCGCAGCTCTTCCTCCCCCAGACCAGCCCTGGTCGCAGGTGGGGGTTCTGTTGGTGGAATGTGTGTGGGGCCAGCCAGGCATAGGTATGGAGGCAGCAGCTGTTAGGATTTTCACACCTGCATGCTGTAGCATTGGGTGAACCCAATACCGGTTCACAAGGGAAAGATTACAGGTGCACTTCAAAGGTTCTTGTTTGAGATGTCTTCGGAGCAATTTCCCCTCATGGCACCATGTGTGGGCTGGGCGCTCTTCTCTGCGCTCGCCCCTCTGGTCGAGTCGTGGGCTGATGACGAGCTGCCAGGGGGGTTGTGCTTGTCATTGCTCCTTCCTTCTTTACCCGCCCTCCCTTCTCATGGCACCGTGTGTGGGCTGGGCGCTCTTCTCTGCGCTCGCCTCTCTGATCAAGTGATGGGCCAATGACGAGCTGCCAGGGGGGAACAGCTGTCCTTTGACCGATCCCCCCTCCCTTTCAGCTGTCCTTTGACTGATCCCCCCTCCCTTTCAGCTGTCCTTTGACTGATCCCCCCTCCCTTTCAGCTCCTCCATTCCTCGTCCCCCTCCTCATGCCAGCGTGTGTGGGCGCTCTTCTCTGCGCTTGCCTCTCTTGCGAGTCATGGGCCGACGATGACCTGCCAGGCTCCAGGGGGGAAACGGATGTCTGTTGTTGACTGATCCGCCCTCCTTTCCCCACCCTCTCTCCCCAACAGCGTGTGTGGGCGCTCTTCTCTGCGCTCGCCTCTCTCGTCGAGTCATGGGCCGACGATGACCCGCCAGAGAAAGAGTGCTCGTTCATTCTATCCACCTTCCCTTTCCTCCTTTCCACCCCACCCTCTCCCAGCGTGTGTGGGCGCTCTTCTCTGCACTCGCCTCGCTGGTCGAGTCATGGGCTGATGATGACCTGCCAGGGGACGATGACGAGGAGGAGGAAGGGGAGGAGAGGGATGGGAAGGAGGCAGCAGGGGCGGAGGAGAGGAGTCGCCGGGCAGTGGAGGTGGCTGCGTCTGTGGCTCGCGTGCTGCGAGTGGCCTGGCTGAACGAACCTGTGAGTTATTAACTCGCCCTCTTGCCCTCTTGCAGTGCAGCCCAGAGCACCACCCTTCGCTTCCCTGTTGACTTTTGAGTCGACTCAAAAGTCAACGCAGCCCAGAGCACCACCCTTCGCTTTTTGAGTCGACTCAAAAGTCAACGCAGCCCAGAGCACCACCCTTTGCTTCCCTGTTCTTTCTTTCTCTTAGGAGGTGGTAGGTGTGTGGCCCGCGTGTGTGCTGCGAGTGGCCTGCCTGCCTGCCTGGCTGAATGAACCCGTGAATTCTTTCTGAGTCAACTCGAACTTCTGAGTCAAACGCATCTGTGGCTTTGAGTGCCCCAAGTGGCGCCAGGAGGACAAGGAGCCGACCCCCCTGTGGCTTGAGTGCCCCAAGGAAACGGCGTCCCTTTCCTTCTCTTCTTAGTCGACTCAAAAATCGACCCCCCTTTGCTGCTCTCCTTCGTCCTCCAAACCCCCCCGAATCCCTGTGCTCTCCGCCCCCCCACCCCCACTTCCCCCCCCACCACCAATTCCTTTCCCCGCCCTTCTCTCCCCCACCTCTTGTCAGGTGGATCCATCCATAGTGAAGCCACAAGTGTCAATTCAGGAGGGCGAGAAGGACGACAAGGAGCCGCCCCCCACCTCGTGGATCGACGCCTCTCTGCTGCTCTCCTTCGTCCTCAAAACCTCCCTGGTCCCTGTACTCTACGATCCCCCTCTCACCCTCCCTCCACCCCCACCCGCCTTTCTTCGTCAGGTGGATCCGTCCCTCGTGAAGCCACAGCCAGCAGCCGGCCTAGAGGGCGAGGAGGACAAGGAGCCGCCCCCCACCTTGTGGTTCGACGCCCCTCTTCTGCTCCCCTTCGTCCTTACAGCCTCCCTGGTCCCTATGCCCTCCGCCCCCCCTCTCTTCACTCACCCCCCCCCCCCCCCCCCACCTCTTCAGGTGGACCCATCTCTCGTGAAGCCACAGGCAGCAGCCACTCTAGAAGGCGAGGAGGACAAGGAGCCGCCCCCCACGTCATGGTTCGATGCCTCTCTGCTGCTCTCCTTCGTCCTCAAAGCCGCTGCCAACGCCCCAGCTTCACCTTCCTCCACCTCTGCTGCTACAGGCGGGGATGCAGCAGCGCTGGTGGCGCAGTGGGGGGTGGTGCCGTTGCTGCACAAGTGGGTGGAGCTGGTGGCGGAGTGGACGGCATGGGAGGAGGATGAGGACGAGGCGGTGTTTCAGACCATCGACTCCTTGTTGCTGCTGCAGGTGAGCACTTCTGTAGGTGGTGCTGCTGCTGCAGGTGAGTGAGTGCATGGGAGGTGAGTGTGTTGAGAGCTGGTGACGCAGTGGGGGGTGGTGGCGTTGCTGCACAAGTGGGTGGAGCTGATAGTAGAGTGGAGGGCATGGGAGGAAGATGCTATTTTGAGTCGACTCAAAATTACTTTTGAGTCGACTCAAAAGTCAACTCGGCATGGGAGGAAGCTGCTATTCTCTGCTATCCCCTCACCCTGCGTACCCTGCCCCCTCACCTGCACATGCTGTCTCCTTTTCGCCGTCCCTATCCTGGGTACACAGACCCAATTCTCTACGACATGGGACGAGTTTTGAGCCCACTCCAGTACCGGATTTCACATCCATTGCCTTTCCGCTGCCTCCCCTGCCACGGAGCCCCCTCACCTCCTGTCGATGCCGTCCAGGGGAGGACGCCACACTTGAATGGATTTCCCTCACACTCCCAACCCAATTGCCTTCCAGGGGAGGACGCCAGTACCGGATTTCATATCCAGAGCCACTCCACCGCCTCCCCTGCCGCCCGTGCCGGCACGCTCCATCCTCGAAGGCGTCGCGTGCTTCATCTCATCCGCGCTATCTGACGGCTCTCCTGCTGCCACGTGGCGAGCATCCAGGCACTCGCACACGCTCCTAAACGCTGCTGCTGTGGCGCTCAACGGAGGGCCTGCTGCCGCTGCTCTGGCTGCTCGGTTTGCCGAGGTGAGGCAACGGGAAATGGAAGGGGTGGGAAAGTGGGATTCTGAGGTGTGTCATGTCAACACACACTGCTGAACGCTGCTGCCATGACGCTCAAAGGGGGGGGGGGCCTGCTGCCGCTGTTCTGGCTGCGCGGTTTGCCGAGGTGAGGCAACGGGAAAGAGCGGGGGGCTGAGGGGGAAGGAGGGGGGGATGGGAGGAGGAAAGGAAGTCGAAATGTCTCGAAACGCGCTGCTGAACGCTGCTGCTGTGGCTCTCAACAGAGGGCTTGCTGCTGCTGCTGCTGCTGCTGCTCTGGCTGGGGGGTTTGCCGAGGTGAGGCAAAGGAAGGGGTGGGGAAGTGGGCGTGGAAGAGATGTGGTAGAACGCGCTGCTGAACATTGCTGCTGTGCCACTCCATGGGGCCCCTGCTGCTGCTGCTGCCCTGGCTGGACGGTTTGCCGAGGTGAGGCATTGAGGAAGGGACAGGGAATGGGGGAGGAGGGCGGCGGGGGGGGTTGAGTAGGGACACGCTTTGGTTGCTCCGAGAGGATGGGATGGGAGAGGGTAGGGGGGCGCTGTGGCTGCCTGCTCTGAGTGGGTGGGTGTGGTGGGGGGGAGGGGGGCTGTGGTGTCTCTGAGTGGGTGGGTGTGGTGGGGGGGAGGGGGGCTGTGGTGTCTCTGAGTGGGTGGGTGTGGTGTCCACATGTTTCGCAAGCAACCATTTGTTCCACCTTTCCCCCCTTTTCCCCCATTCTCACCCCCTTCTCTCAGGCCTCTCTCACTCGCCTCTCCACCGCCCCCTCCCTCTCCTCCATCCGCTACATCACCAAGCCTCTGCTCCTCGCCCTCTTCTCCTCCCTCCTCTCCCTCTTGCCCCTGTCCACGTGTCTCTCAACTAACCATTTGTTCCGCCTTTCCCCCTTTCACCCTTTCCCAACCCCCTCCCTCAGGCCTCTCTCACTCGCCTCGCCTCCACGCCCTCCCTCTCCTCCATTCCTTACATCACCAAGCCTCTGCTCCTCCCCCTCTTGCCCCTGCCCCACGTCCACATGTTGTGCAATTTACAAAACTCCCCCTCATTTTCCCCCTTTCTCAACCCCCTTCCAGGCCTCTCTCACTCGCCTCTCCACCGCCCCCTCCCTCTCCTCCATCCGTTACATCACCAAGCCTCTTCTCCTCGCCCTCTTCTCCTCCCTCCTCGCCTCCCCCTCCTCCGTCTTCCCCCTCCTCCTCTCCCCCGCACCTGCTGGCGACAAGGGGAAGGTGGAGGCGGGGCAAGAGGAAGGGGAAGGAGAAGGGGAGAAGGAAGAAGGGTTGATGTTGGGAGTGGTTGTGCGCGGTGTAGAGAGCTTGCTGGCGCTGCATGCGGAACCAGGGTTGGTTCTCGAGTCAGAGCTGAAGCTCACAGGTGGGTGGGTGGGATGGGCTGGGCTGGTTGGTGTTAGTGTTAGCCCTCAATCTCACACTTTGTACTTTATATTTTCTATATCCTAGAGTAGTGTAGTTTGCACTTTGTGTTTGGTTGGGTGTACACCTACATCCCAACCAAACCCAAATGTAATCTCCAAGCAGTCTCCAACCCACCAATTGGAGATTGCCTTGGGATTACTCCCAATCCCTAGGGATTACCCCCGATTCCTTTCCCCATCCATTCCCTACCCTTCTTGGATGTACTTAAAGAGCTTCAAGCTCATTACCAATGCATCAGTTCTAAGCCTAAGTTGTGACAGTTGGTTGGGTGGGTGAGTAGATGAGTGGATGGTGGGTGGCTGCATGCGGAGCCGGGGCTGGTTGGTGAGTCAGAGCTCAAGCTCACACGTTGGTGGGCGGACGGATGGGCTGGGCGGGTTGACTCTTGAGTCGACTCAAAAGTCAGCTTGCTGGCGCTGCATGCGGAGCCAGGGCTGGTTCTCGAGTCAGAGCTCAAGCTCACAAGTGGGTGGGCTGGCCGCTTGAGTGGGTGGCTAGGTGGGTGGTTGAGTAGATGGGTGGGTGAGTAGGTGGGTGTGTGGGTGAGTGGGTGGGTGAGTGGGTAGCTGGGACGGTGAGTGGCTGCGTGGGTGGGTGGGTGGGTGGGTGTGCAAGTGGGTGTGTGGGTGGGTGGTTCCGGAAAGCAGGTCATACTGGTATGAGGCAAATTCCCGGGATCTGAGGCTGTAGAAAGCCACAGGACTAGAGTATACTTGTAAGTCGACTGAAAACGCTCCCCTCCAACCTTACCGCTCCCCCTTTGCCATCTAATGTCCCCTTCGCCCCTCACAGTTCTTGCCCTGACGTGCCTGGTGCAGCAGTCTTGAGATGTCTCAAAACCCCCTTTGCCCTGCACTGCCTTGCTGCCCTTGCTCGTCGCACTTCTCGCTCTGAAGTACCTGGTGCAGCAGTCAGCAGCAGCAGCAACAGCAGCAGAGAAAAGGACCAGCCGCAGTGCTGGCAGCAGCAATGGAAGCAATGGTGCGGCTGAAGGAGATGAAGGAGGAGGGGAGCTGAGACACTCCCGTGCCTTCTCCTGTCCTCCTCCAACCCTCTCCCCTCCCCTTCCCCACTTTCAACGGCAGTTCTCGCCCTCACGTGCCTCGTGCAGCAGTCAGCAGCAGCAGCAGTGACAGGGTCAGACCTCCCACCCGCCATGCTGGCAGCAGCGATGGTGCGACTGAAAGAGGTGAAGCAAGTTAGAAATTCTCCCTCCAAGTTCTCCCTTCCCTCCTCTGCCTTTATCCCCCTGTGGCAGTGCTCGCCTTCACGTGCCTGGTGCAGCAGTCAGCAGCAGCAGTGACAGGGTCAGACCTGCCAGCTGCAGTGCTGGCAGCAGCGATGGTGCGACTGAAAGAGGTGAAGGAGGAGGCGAGCTTAACTCTCCCCCATTTTCATCAACACTCCTCCTACTTTCCCCTCTCTCCGCTCCCCCTACCCTCATTCTCCCCACGACCCCCATTGCCTCTCACAGTGCTCGCGCTCACGTGCTTGGTGCAACAGTCAGCAGCAGCAGCAGCAGTGACAGGGTCAGACCTGCCAGCAGCAGTGCTGGCAGCAGCAATGGCAGCAATGGTGCGGCTGAAGGAGGTGAAGGAGGAGACAAGCAGCAAGGAAGGGAGCGAGGAGGGGGAGGAGGACGAGGAGGACGAGGAAGAGGAGGATGAGGACGATGAGGAGGTAAGATCGAAGGCAGTGGTGCAGTTGTGTCATGTGAGCTGAGTGCTGAGTGCTTTGCAGTCCTGCCAACAGCAGTGCTGGCAGTAGCTGTAGCAGCAATGGCAGCGATTTTGCAAGGGCAGTGGTGCAGTGGTGTCATGTGTGCTGTGTGCTTTGCAGTTGTGCCAGCTGCCGTGCTGGCAGCAGCGATGGCAGCGATGGTGCGGCTGAAGGAGGTGAAGGAGGAGGGGAGCAGCATGGAAGGGAATGAGGAGGGTGAGGAAGAGGAGGAGAGAAGGAGAGGTGGAGGGGAAACAAGAACTTGCCGCGGTTTAAATTGTTCTAATACTCTGGAAGAGGCGGAAGAGAAGGTCCAGGTAGTTTTTTAGAATTCTCAAGTGGGTTTTGAGAAATTTCAAAAACCACCTGCGAGAGTTGAAACTTGTTTCTTCATCGTCCGTGCTCTTCGTCTTCCCTCGTCGCATCTCACAAACTCTTTGTCTGGATCCAATCTCCTGGTCGACTTCTTTCGTCTACTCCTTCCTTATCCCCTTCAAATAAAGGTCTCTTTTATTCGCCTCAACAGCCATCTCCCTTTTTCTCTGCACGCTTCGTTTCTCCTCTCATTTCCCCTTTTCTGGCGCCATCCAGCCCGCGTTGGACGAGAATCTCGACGATGCTGAGCTGGAGGCGGCGCTGATGAGGCGATACGCGGAGGCGGCGAAGATGATTGGCTCCCTGGAGGAGGACGAGGCTGACGTGGAGGATGAATACGGGGTTGAGCTGGAGCTAGGTGAGGAATATATGCTGATGTTCAAGGGCAGTGGTTGATGTTAGAAGGGAGTGCCGGGCTGGGTGTGGGGGAGAGGGAATAGAGCGGCAGTCAAGAAGAGGACGAGGCTGACGTGGAGGATTAGCACCTTCCAATGATGGAAGCAGTCAACATCCACACCTGAGCACCTTCCAATGATGGAAGCAGTCAACGTCCACACCTGAGCACATTCCAATGATGGAAGCAGTCAACGTCCGCACCTGAGCACCTTCCAATGATGGAAGCAGTCAACGTCCACACCTGAGCACCTTCCAATGATGGAAGCAGTCAACGTCCACACCACACCTGAGCACCTTCCAATGATGGAAGCAGTCAACGTCCGCACTTGAGCACCTTCCAATGATGGAAGCAGTCAACGTCCACACCTGAGCACCTTCCAATGATGGAAGCAGTCAACGTCCACACCTGAGCACCTTCCAATGATGGAAGCAGTCAACGTCACACACCTGAGCACCTTCCAATGATGGAAGCAGTCAACGTCCACACCTGAGCACCTTCCAATGATGGAAGCAGTCAACGTCCACACCTGAGCACCTTCCAATGATGGAAGCAGTCAACGTCCACACCTGAGCACCTTCCAATGATGGAAGCAGTCAACGTCCACACCTGAGCACCTTCCAATGATGGAAGCAGTCAACGTCCACACCTGAGCACCTTCCAATGATGGAAGCAGTCAACGTCCACACCTTAGCACCTTCCAATGATGGAAGCAGTCAACGTCCACACCTGAGCACCTTCCAATGATGGAAGCAGTCAACGTCCACACCTGAGCACCTTCCAATGATGGAAGCAGTCAACGTCCACACCTGAGCACCTTCCAATGATGGAAGCAGTCAACGTCCACACCTGAGCACCTTCCAATGATGGAAGCAGTCAACGTCCACACCTGAGCACCTTCCAATGATGGAAGCAGTCAACGTCCACACCTGAGCACCTTCCAATGATGGAAGCAGTCAACGTCCGCACTTGAGCACCTTCCAATGATGGAAGCAGTCAAGGTCCGCACCTGAGCACCTTCCAATGATGGAAGCAGTCAACGTCCGCACCTGAGCACCTTCCAATGATGGAAGCAGTCAACGTCCGCACCTGAGCACCTTCCAAGGGAAAGGGTACCTGCACACCTCAGCGTGATGTATCCCACAACTCTCCACGTCATGCCCTCACCAAGCTCACACAGCTGGGTACAAAGGAGCAGGCAGAAGTGACGGCGTGCGTGCAGTAGCACGTTGCTGCTCTTTCGCTTGTGAGCACTCTCTTTCGCTTGTGAGCACACTCTTTCGCTTGTGAGCACACTCTTTCGCTTGTGAGCACACTCTTTCGCTGCTACGTTTGAGAATTCTCAAGAGTAACATCAACGTTGCTGCTCTCGCTTATGGGCGCACTCTTTCGCTGCTACCGCGTTGCCCTTTGAGCTCATCACTCAACACTTCACCCTCCCTCACTCCCATGCCAGGCCTCACAGGGCTACAGGACGAGCAAGCGGGCATCAGGGCGTGTCTGCAGCAGCACTGGGCTGTGCTGGGTCGCCAGGTCATCGCACTCAAGCCCTCGCTCTCCCGTTCACCCGTCCTTATTGCTGCAGGCCTCACGGGGTTGCAGGACGAGCAGGCGGGCATCAGGGCGTGTCTGCAGCAGCACTGGTCCTCCCTTGCTTTGCACGTGCTTACTTTCACCCCATCACTCTCCCCTTCAACCACCCTCCCTCCTCCACCAGGCCTCACAGGGCTGCAGGACGAGCAGGCGGGCATCAGGGCGTGTCTGCAGCAGCACTGGGCGGCTCTGGGTCGCCAGGTCGTGGCACTCAAGCCATCGCTCTCCTCCAACTTTGCCGAGGCCTTCCCTCCAGCCAAGCCATTCCTTCTTTGAGACTTCAAATCAACGGACAGCTCTGGGTTGTCAGGTTGTGGCACTCGAGCCCTCGCTCTCCGCTGACTTCGCCCAAGCCTTCCCTCCGGCCAAGCCATTCCTGCTCTGAGGCGATTACGGTATCAGGTCAGGCCCCTCTGATTTAATTCTGAGTTTGCTGAAGCTATTTCTGCTGCTGGGCAGTCACTCCCTCCCTAGTAGCATAAGTGAGCAGATTCAGAATAAACCTAGGGCTGGCTGGAACGTAATAAGTACAATATTATGTAAAGTACTTTGTTGTTAAGATGCTTTACAGCACGCTTTAGGAAAGCGCCTATCTCAAGGTTGGGCTGATGTCACAACATGGGGAGCAACATTGGGCTGTTCATGATGTCATATTTTGTTATGTACCGTATGTGTCACCTCTATAAGGAGATTTTCTCCTGAAGCTTTGTATTCTACCTAAACTCGTGTAGCATCAGCAAGTTCGTACAGTTTACCTAAAGTCAAAGGAGTGCAACTCAGTCAACCTCGCCAAAACCATCAACCCCATGGAATAACTGCACACTTTGCGCCACACGTTACCCCCTCCAACCATCACTCGCCGTTTTCGCCTGGAGGGTGCGGCTCGAGCAACCCTGTTCGCCCCCAAGAAAGATGCCACAACTGTACCAGAAGTCATTTCGGATTCCAGAACCTGCCTGTCACTATTAGAATGGACTAAGATACTAGCGGAAGCTTTAGTAGTCTTAGAACCTCCTCCTAAAGCCTAGGAATCCTAGGAGCCCACTTGGGCATGAACCATGCTAGAACCAAAGTGGTTTCCAAAAGTGAAATACCAACAAGAGAGAACCCTAACCTATAGGGTTTGGGAGGTGGTCCACTCTAAAGAGTGTACACCACAAGTTCTCCCAACCCAACCAATGTATTCTACACTATCATAGTGTAGATGTACCACTACATATGTTTATAGGAGCAACCCGAATTAACCTTAATTCCAACAGTCACCAGGGGCGGGAAACCCTATCAGAAATCTGGCAAGTGAATAGTGCGGGAAGAAGAATGACTTGGGAATCACTGAGCACTCCCTCACACTTTTTGGGAATATGCCTCCCTCCTCGCCTCTCCTCCCCACCATACCAGTTTCGCTGCTGTTCTCCCTCCTCGCCTCTCCTCCCCACCACACCAGTTTCGCTGCTGTTCTCCCTCCTCCCTCCCTCCCTCCCTCCCTCCCACGCCCTTCATTTCATTCAATTCAAATTTCAAACATTCCAAGAAGCTCCAGCGCAAACACACACTTCACTCCACCCCATCCATCACAAAAAACCGGGTTCAGGTTGGAGGTGGGTTTGGTGGTTTCGAGGGTGGCATTTGACAAAAATTGCCAGGCGCAACTTTCCGCTCGATTTCCGACTGAGAACCGGCGGAAGTCACTGGTCAAAGTTGGGTTTTGCCGAGAAATGCAGTGGCGACCGAGTCGCGTCAAGCGCCACTCGGTGCCTCTTGATTTCCAGTGAATTTCGGGCGGGAATGAGATGGGGGGCGACGAGACCATAATATAGGCAAAACTGAATATTTGAAATGCGTCCAGTTTTCGCATCACCCAAGACGAACACTTCACCTCTGAGCTTATATATCACACATGTTAAAACTGCGTTGTGTGAGTAGATTAGAAGATCATAGACATGCTAACATTTCATTTTTAATTCATGTCAATAGTTGTGTGAATCATGAATTTGCTTGTTCTGGAAGATTTCAATTTAAATTCATTAATCAAAAGCGACACTATTTAACTCATGGTACACAAAAATGTGATGCTACACAGTATTAGATTTAGTATCAATATATTGTTTCGCGACGTCCGATAATAAACGTGTGCATAATGTTGCACCACGAATATGTCGTGTCGTGTCAACTTGCTGTATCGACGTCCGTTTGTCATTTTGTGTCAAACTTATATGCTATAGTCTGTGTAGGCTGTAGTGTGGTTGACTATATCGGGTACAACATTTCTAGGTTTTCCTACTTGTACCCACCTGCTTGATAGTTCATTCTTTCCTAGTGTGCTCTTAGCACGGACGTCCTTGAGGACACGCAGGAGGAGTTCCACTGTTTTGCTGCTTCTTTGCCTCATCTTGTGTCCACGCTGATTGCCCCTGAGGGAGACCCGGATGCACCAGACATCCCGACTCCTCGATCATACGCTGAGGCGATCGAGGGTCCCTACTCCTCTCAATGGCAGTCAGCCATAGACGCAGAGATGGCTTCCTGGAAGTCCACAAGCACCTACGTCGACGAGGTTCCCCCACCTGGGGCGAATATTGTCAGTGGCATGTGGATTTTCAGGGTGAAGCGGTCGCCAGGTTCTCCGCTTGTCTTCAAGGCGCGTTACGTGGCTCGAGGCTTCAGTCAGCGGCAGTGAGTTGACTGCTTTCAGACCTTCTCTCCCACCCGAAAGATTGTTGGGCTCAAACGCCATGGGATCTTTTGTAAAGCTAAAGTCTCAGTAAGTGACGTAATAGCGGAAGCGTTGAATAAAGTCCTTGAACCACCTTGCGCTAGTATGTGAGGGCAAAGTAAGTTAATTAAAGCAAAGATACACAGGAATATATATGAGTACAGAGAATATGAGGAGACATTATAATAACTACTTTACTGTTGCGGTTCAATACAGTGCGACTCGGGCAACTGCTCAATGTCGCGTCAGTTGTATGTCTTTGCTCTCGCGCTGCATTTGTCAGGTCAAAGGTCGCTGACCTTTGACTTTCTCGTAACCTCCAGCGGTTACGTTAACCTCCGAGGGTTGACTCGAGGTGCTTCGTGTGAAAACAAGTGAACAGGAATGAGAATAACTAAGTCAGAGTTGGGTACAAATACAACCCCAGAAAGCTGTACCCCATATGTGCTACCCCACTACAGCCTACAAACATGCATCAGCTATAATACTCTGACACACCCCCATAGGCTAAGTGGGGGAGAACAAGGGGTCACAAGACCAGTCAAGCAAAGCAAAGCAAAGCAAGCTCAGGGTGGATCACAAAGTCACCACACAGTCCGAGCACAAGAGCAGTGCCAGAGGCCAGTTCACATGCAGGAGTACAGACATATATATAAAACTAGACAAGCAAGAGCAGGTATATATATATGTCACAGTACAAGTGAAGTCAAGAGGAGAGCAAGTGAGGCAAGACAGGTACAAGACCCAGCTGGGTGCAAAAGCGCTGATGGTCACAAGGCGCGAGTGCCTTGGTGAACACATCAGCAGTGTTGGCCTCAGAGGCCACGTACGCAAGTCGCAACTGACCACGCTGCTGCAGCTCACGAGCAAGGAAGTAGCGGAGAGCAATGTGCTTCGTTCTGTGCTCCAAGCGCTGCTCTCGACACAAGGCCAGCATGGCCTTGTTGTCTACGTACAGCACTGGAGGAGAACGAGGCGGCTCTCCAAGGTCAGTCAGCAGGTAGGTGAGCCAGCGAAGCTCCTGTGCAGCCATGGCCCCGGCGTAGATCTCAGCCTCACAACTGGAGCCGAGAACCGAAGACGAGCGAGTAGACCGCCACGAGACAGAGCCGGAACCAAGGCTGAAGGTGTAACCCTGTGACGACCGCTGCGTAGCCTGGTCGTCAGCCCAAGAAGCGTCCGCGTGGCCGGTAAGGACCACTGGACTCCGCCCTCCAAGCACTAGCCCCATGCCCGACGTACTGCACAGGTAGCGCAATACCCTCTTCGCTGCAGCCATGTGCTCCGGTCTGTGTCTCCCAGGAGCAACATAGCGTGCAAGAATGCTCAGAGGGTATGCAAGGTCAGGTCGTGTGCAGGTCATCAGGTACATGAGGCAGCCAACAAGCTCTGCATACGGACCACTCGACTCTACGGACTCATCCGAAGGCAGAGCTGAGAGTGAGTGGCGAGTAGGCAGAGGAGTGGCCTGAGGCGAGGAGTACGTGAAGCCGAAGCGCTGAAGGACCTGCTGCACCATGTGTGACTGAGTCAAGGTAATGGTGCGGCGTGCTCTGTCCCGAGTGATCTGCAAGCCAAGGTAGCTGCGCAGTTCACCCAGGTCTGTGCACGTGTGTCTCTTCAGCAGCTCGGACTTCACGTAGGCGAGTCCAGCAGTGTCCGCTGTGGCAAAGACCAAGTCGTCGACGTACACGAGGATGTAGAACGGCGGCAGGGAAGTGTCGGTGCGAAGAAACAGCGACGGGTCAGCAGTAGAAGGAGCAAACCCAAGAGCCGCAAGCGTAGTCCTCAGTGTGTCGTGCCACTCACGCGGTGCCTGGCGGAGACCGTAGACTGGCCGTCGGAGGCTCCACTGGGTGCCAGGAGGGAAAGTCCCAGTGAAGCCAGGTGGACGGCGAAGCCAGATCTCCTCGTGCAGGCTACCCTGCAAGAACGCAGTGCTGAAGTCGAGGGAGTGAAGCTCGTAGTCGCGCTGAGCGGCTATGTGCAGCAGCACCCGAAGAATAGTCATCTTCGGGGTGGGAAAGAAGGTCTGAAAGTAGTCAACTCCCTGCCGCTGACTGAAGCCACGAGCAACGTACCGTGCCTTGAAGACAGGTGGAGAGCCCGGCGGCCGCTTCACCCTGAAGATCCACATGCCACTTACGATGTTCGCCCCAGGAGGGGGAACCGCGTCAACGTAGGTGCCTGTGGACTTCCAGGAAGCCATCTCTGCATCCATAGCTGCCTGCCACTGAGAGGAGTAGGGACCCTCTACGGCCTCCGCGTAAGAACGCGGAGTCGGGATGTCTAGTGCATCCGGGTCTCCCTCAGGGGCAAGCAGTACAGACGCGAGATGAGGTGAAGCAGCCGCTAGACACTGTCACTCCTCCTGCCTGTCCTCTAGGACGTCCGTGCCAAGAGCACACTCACCCCTAACGGACGGAAGAGAGACAGACGCAGACTCAGCAACAAGACTAGCAGCGTAGTCGAGACGACATCGAGCAGCAAAGTCGACGAGCTCAACGACTAGAGCAGACGCAGCAGTGGACTCAAAAGAGGGGTCAGTGACGACAGTAGCAAG